TTTTTTTATTTTTTGTATTTTAGTATTTATTTTATTTATTAAATTGTTGTTCCATGCTGCTTTCATTCTGTACAGCACTTTGGTCAACCCCGGTTGTTTTAAATGTGCTCTATAAATAAAGTTTGAGTTGAGTTGAGTTGAGTTTCAATTATACAAAGTTAAGCTTGTTGGAAATGAATGTGTCACATGTAAAGCTTCATGGGGAGTCTAAACATGACTGAGCTATCTTGTACGGTTACAGAGATAACACAATGCTTAGGAAATGATAATATAACAAGCTGATAAATTAAAGAAGGACTTATCCAACTGTAATTAAGCTTTGGAGTATTTATCAGGACATGGTATAACATAACATTTAACAATTAAACTTAACACAAGATAATAAGGCACATCCTCTTAGTACTGTGTCTTATTGTTCATCAATGACTTCAGTTGTTAAGTTCAATTGTTGCATGCCACAGGAAATGAGGGGTCAGCAGAGCAATACGTTGAGCCCAGGGCACTTCATTGCGCCTGGCCATCTGTTAAGGTCCATGTGGTTGAATGTTTTTCTTTGTTTTCCCCCAAAAGCTTCTACCAAAGTTAGATCCACTGAAGCTCTGATAGGTGATAAGGGAATTCCTAAGGGAGCTCTGCTTCCTCACTCCTCCAAGTCTGCAGAGCTGATTTACATGGCCCTGTGACCTGCAGGACAGTTCTGTCTTTTTTTTGGCATGTGACTTGGGTGCTGGAAAGTTCAAATGAAGTTTTTCGAATCCTTTTGGGCATCTGTGTCTGTCCATATCCTACAGTGATATGTTAGCAACGTGTCAACCACACTGCTGCCTCACCATAAAACACACTCTGCTTTATCTATTTTACTAAATGAGACCATCATTTACATAGTAAACATCATTCGGTATTTAAAAAATATGTATTTAAAAAGTAAATCACTAGTTTCACTAGTCACTAGTTTCACTAGTGATTTACACCATAACTTTATGAGAAAAATGTTTACTGAGTTGAACAAGAGAGAATTAGGGTTATTTTCTCATAGATGTATAGAAAATAGTGGTGGCTATCCTGTTCGCCAGAAGCGGACCCCAAAAGCTCGCAAAAAAGCAAAGAACAGACCAACGACCAACAAAACCGCCATCTGCATCTCTACTGTTCCCGTGCAAATGCGGTACAGCTGCGTGAAATAAAAATATTAAAAAGATAGAAAAAAAAACCCCAAAGTAACTAGCTATAAACACAGAAAGTAGGTAGGAGCCGCTGTAACTGGCTGCCACTCTCATGATGTCATAGCAACAATCAGTTGTTGTTATGTACAATATATATATTATACAATGATAGAGGCCATTATTAAGCCACTGATTCTTGTTTTCATGGCTAAAGACAAAGAAAAGCTTGATTTCATTAAAGTGTATGGTGTGTAACCATTTTGTGGCATTTTCTGTCTGTTGCTGTGCAATAATTACAGAATCAGCACGTTATAATGAAAAAAAACTTGAAGCCGGTAATCTGTGGTGAAAGGGTTGTTTGCAGTCCCCCTGTACAATAGTTCAGAGTGCCCAAAGATTTTTTTGCAGATAATGTTATTATGAAGTCCCACCTTTTAGACGGTATGCTCTGTTTTTTGAAGTATGCTCCGGCATTGGACATATTTTGGCCTAATCTTTGGGTATTTTAACAGTTTTCACTATTGGGTGAGTGGGGTGGTTTTGACTGACATGATTTGTGTGATAGGAAATAATCATAGGAGAACGAAACATTGACAATAAATTGCCTTTGGGTAGGAGAACATTCGATGAGGCAAGTTTCATCAAAATGAATGAGATGGCTTGTGCCACCCCTGTCTGGTCCTACCGTGGATGCATTCTTAAAACTCCTTGTTGTACAGTTTGCACACCACCATGCTCTTACTGAAGCTGCCTCATGCCATGTGTCCACAGGCTCTGTCAGTATCTCACTTCCCATTTATTGTGTAGTGAAATATGTTCTGGAGCGTCATGTGGAGTTTTGAGCAACGAGGCGTCATAGCGTCATCCGCGAGTTCATTTCCATAAAGTAGACCTGACTTTAACTTTATGCAAATTTGCCAAATTTTGGAGAAATCGCCCCTGTGGACACTGAGCATCAGGCCTCGAAAAGAAAAAATGGAGGTCAGAGGGCATGAGGTTGCAATACAGACCGAGGACCCGACCAACGCTGCTTGCAATTAAAATTGTTACCCAAGTTTATGTGTAAATAGCCCTCTAAATTAAACTTATTTAGAGACCCCAGAGACAATAGGAGGGTTAAATGATTTGATATCAAAATTTCAAACAATGCCAATTACAAAAGTTAACAACCCTTTATGGGGCAAGTGACCATATTTAGCAGCTTCTTTGGCCATTCGATATGTCTACCCTGTGCCTCTCCTCGAGGTTGAAGAACCATGTGCACTTTGATTTAGTTTTTATATTAGTGCTAATATCACTACCTTACGATAAATGTCACCAAAAAAATGTTCCAGGCATTTTATAAACACTTTGTGACTGGTTTGCATTGAACTCCACTTTGATTTATTTTTTGAGATGAGTGCCAATACCACTACCCCAAGAAAAATGTTACTAAATGAACTTGCCAAGCACTTTATAAATCATTGATTGTGTAAGTGTCATTACCTCTAAATGTTTCTAAATAAATGTTCCATTTTTTTAACCATAGATGTGCAGGTTACCATAGTTGGTAAGTTTATTAATCTTGATTTGCAACTTTTTTTCTTTCTTTTTTTTAAGTCACAAAAGTAAAAAATATCTTGAAATATCCTTCAATTACACCCTAGGGTTATTGTATTAAGTGTTTCAAGAAGTGCATTTAAAGGGTTAAATGTAGGACATACAAGTTCAAGCTGTTAAGTAATGACAATGATGCTTTGATTCAG